CACATAAGTCTCCTGCTTGAATGATGGACGCTGGACCTCTGTATTTTATCCGTACACTCGAGCTTTCACTTTCGGATCACCACCGACCGACCATTTTCCGGCATACAATTGTTTCTTTTTCAACGGTGGCGGATCATAAGGCCTCCATCATCGACGGCAAGGCAGTCTCCAAAATAACCCGATCCAAAATCTCCAACGAAGTCCACCCCCTGTCTGATACTTACTGCAAGGTTCTCTCTTGTAACATTAAAAAGAATGTGTGAAGACTGAAGATTCATTTCTTGTTTTGTAAAAGTTCAATTGATACGATTGTGTAAAATCAATCCATCGAGTAGTTTGAATTTTATGACTGTTTCCATGCTGCTAAAGAACACCTTGGATGGTGCTAAGAGAGTGATGACAGAACATTTAACTCTTACCTCTCTTTATTGTTTTTAGTAGTTAATTACTGGTACTTCAGTGGACATTGTAATGGTAAATTATGTATTATATCATCATATCTGTGGGAAAAGAAATGAAAAAGATGATCTTCTTTCCATTTTCTAGCAAAAGAAGGTTGTGTGTGTACACAAATGAGATATAGTCAAATGCAGCTTCCTCTTCAGAGCAAACTCTAAACATTTTTTGAGATTTCCCTTTTGCATGTAAATTATTCTCAGGCAACTCTAATGTAACTCAACAAACGCCATTCAATACAGCGATAACCCGTTTCATCTAAAAAAAAAACCAAGTGCTCGGAAAGTGGGATTGGCCCGTTCCTCATGCAATGTACATATATGACTTTAAATTGTTGGAGGAATCCATATATAGCCATGGGTCTGCACATAACCTGCTCTTTCCAATAGTTCATCTGCCTCAATAGGGCCCCTGCTCCCGGGCTTGTAAGGAATTGGCTCGAGTTCACCTTCATCTATTCTGTGCAGAAGGGGCGTAAATATTTCCCAGGCAGCCTAAAAATTTAAAATAATAACCACTTCATTCAATAAAACTATGCTTATATATATATATATATATATGTATATATATATATGTGTGTGTGTGTGTGTGTGTTAATTGTTATAGGGATAGATAAAGTTCTCTTTTTTTTCACCTTCAGCTCGTCTCTGCGAACAAAATGCTGCTGATCCCCTTTAATGCTGCACACAAATAAAAAGCTTCAATTAACTTATAATCTAATGATTTTGAGCAAAGTAACATTTATGGAGATGAGTATGAAAAATCATACGTGTCAAGAATTAGTCGTTCATATGCCTCGGGAATAACAACCCCTTGGTAGCGTTGCCTGTATGACAAATCGAGTTCACTTTGAGCAGTCGACATTTCCAAACCGGGCTGCTTAACCTGCATGATGAGTGGCAAAAAAGAATTAGGAGACA